CCAGGGTGACAGCTTGAGGCTCTGTCTCAAAAATAAATAAAAAACAGGTGCCTGAGAGTACATCTTCCCTTAGAAGTTCAGCCTGGCTGTGCAGCTCTGGAGGTGCCTGAGGGTCACCCACACCCTCCCTCTCTCCCCTGCTATTGACAAGTGTGGGAAGGGCTGGGAGGGTTATGGGAGCCAGTAGGTTTCATTTGCAAAGATAAATGTTTATTTTCTTATCCTCATATAACTTTTACTAAGAAACTAGAATCATATCCACTCATCTCTTTAATGTTTTTATAGGGAAATTCTGGGGAAAACATTTCTCCCTCAATTCTGAGAAGAGAGAGATCCTAGGATGGTGGCCTTTCTTTAAGGCTAACCCAGGGCTCCAGAGGCAGTTTCAGCATTTGGGGGGGGGGGGGGTCCTCTCTCCTGGCCAAGTGTTAGGGCCATCAGTGGGGGCCACAGGTCTCTCAGATGGGGGGCCTCCCATGTCCGCTGAACCAGTGGCTGGTTTCTCGGGGACTCAGACCGTTGTTGCTCCCCTGTTCATGAAGCCCTGCCTGCTGGAGATAGCCTCTCTTTCTGCAGGATAGAAAATTCCAGAAATGTTAGCAGGACTAAGGCCACTGGCACAGAGTTGGGCTTCTTTCCTTGGCAGCAGGAATTCTGGTAAAACCCAGCTGGCCCAGAGGCAGCCATGCCCATGAGACAAATACTGCAAATGTATTATTTGCCAGGTATTTGCACCTTCATATTTCAAAATTCTCAGATCCTAGAGAGAAGCAGGGTGTGTTCACAAAAGTGTTTCCTTTTAGTTTTTGTTTTCTAGGAGGTGCTGGGAGCAAGTTTAGTCATTGGTACACGTGACAGTACAGGGCTCTCCTGTGGCCTCAGGCTGACAAGACCTGTTACTGTGGTCTAAGCCGGAGCTGGTTATGTTTCTGGAACTTCCTTTTGGGGGGCTGCATGTCCCAGGCTTTCCCCCGGCTGGGCCTTTGTCCTCAGAATGTGGGCTACAGTCCTTGGGATGTGACCAGGGACATGTGTGTGGAGTCCCTGCTGGCTGGGCCTGGCGTGACTCCTGCCCTCTCAGATGGCCCACTCCTTGCCTTGAGAGCCCCTCTCACCTGCTCCACCAAGTCCTAAGTTCATTTTCCTGGCTGAGAGTGTTTCGTTCCTGAGTGGGGCTTGTCTTCAGCTCAGCATCAGAGGCCTTCCTGTAACCTTGTCCTGCTCCATCTGCTCTTCGCTTTCAGAACAGGCTGGTCTTCAAGACCCAGGCGACCCAGCAGGAGGCAGTGGGGGCCGAGGTTCCTGTGCCCTTTAATGGTTGGTTCCTCTCTCTCCATCCCAGGTTCCAGGTGTGTGATGGTGGCTGCAATCTGTCTTGTGGGTATTAATTCGATCTTCAATGGTGGCTCCTGTTTTCCAGCTGTTCTACAAAACTGGAGCGTGCTGGTGAGTTCCAAAGTCAATACTGACCAAGCCTCCAGGGAGGCAGTTTGTCCTGGGTAGGGCACAGTGGTGTATGCCATTGTGGTCAGGAGTGTCACTCCTGTGTCCCCACGGCACTGGGGACGCATGTGCGTTCAGGTTCCCTGGCAAGCTCAGCTTAGAACACCAGGACTTCCCAGGGCAGGCCATGCGGTCGATTATGTCTCAGCCCAAATGGCACCCCTATGAGGGGCCTGGAAAAACAATGAGTTGGAAAGGAAGGCCCCTCCTCTGGACAGAGGCCCAGGCAGTTGTGGCCAAGGAGGTCACCACCACATCTGGGGCTTTGGTCACCTCAGGCTGACAACAGTCCTGTCAGTGCTTGTTGGGAAGCGCAGGGGATGGGCAGCTCGCAGTCTGCTGACCTTGTCTCTCGCACTGACCCAAACTTCCCAGCAGGTAACAATCTTCCACACTGCAAACGACAGCTGGTCTTTTTCACATTAGTTCTGTAGCTTTCTCCTTTTTTATCGTTTCCTTTTATCATAGTTCTTAATAGTAATCCCATGGCATTCTTCCCGATCCTAATGCTCAGTAAAACTTCTTTTAAAAGGCACAATTTGGCTAGGCGCAGTGGCTCACGCCTGTAATCCTAGCACTCTGGGAGGCCAAGGCAGGTGGATTGCTTGAGCTCACAGTTTGAGACTAGCCTGACCTAGAGCGAGATGCCCCTAAAAACAGCCAGGCGTTGTGGTGGGCGCCTGTAGGCCCAGCTCCTCAGGAGGCTGAGGCAGTAAGATCACTTGAACTCATGATTATGAGGTTGCTGTGAGCTGTGACGCCACGGCATTCTATCAAGGGTGACAGCGTAAGATTCTGTCTCTAGGCTCGGCGCCTGTGGCTCAAGCGGCTAAGACGCCAGCCACATACACCTAAGGTGGCGGGTTCGAATCCCCAGCCCGGACCCGCCAAACAACAATGACGGCTGCAACCAAAAAATAGCCAGGCGTTGTGGCGGGCGCCTGTGGGCCCAGCTACTTGGGAGGCGGAGGCAGGAGACTCGCCTGAGCCCAGGAGTTGGAGGTTGCTGTGAGCTGTAATGCCACGGCACTCTACCCAGGGGGATAGCTTGAGGCTCTGTCTCAAAAAGAAAAAAGATTCTGTCTCTAAAAGAAAAAAAGGCACAATTTTATTTTGCCCTTTTCCCTCCTCTGGAGAAATTTCATGACTGATTCAAAACCATCCATACACATTATGATTTTTAAAATGCAGTAAGTTAATAATTCAAGCACATGAGCACAGTCAAAGCAGCAGGAACAGGTAGTGATTTGACACACAACAGAAGGGCCTAGTGAGCGGGGCAGAAAAGAGGTTGGAGGTTGGGGCTGGGGATAGTTACCAGTCAGGTTGTAGATACCCCAGGTAGGCCTGGGAAAGTGGGTGGCTGGCAGCGTGAGTGAGGAACGGGTTGTGGCTGTTTTCAGTGTTAACCACATCAACTGTTTCTTGGGGCTGGGGCCAGGGCCATCCAGAGGTTGCAGGAATGAGTTGAGGCTCTGCAGACTGTGTTTTGCTTTTTTTGTTTTGTTTTCAGACAGAGTCTCACTGTGCCCCTCAGTAGAGTGCCATGGAGTCCGATGGTATCATAGCTCACAGCAACCTCTAACTTTTAGGCTTAAGCGATTCTCTTGCCTCAGCCCCCCAGGTAGCTGGGACTACTTGCGCCTGCCACAATGCCTGGCTTTCTTTGTTATTACAGTTCTCGCTGGTATTTTAGCTGGCCTGGGCTTGAACCTGCCAGCCTTGGTGTATGTGTCTGGTGTCCTACCTAGTGTGCTACAGGCGCCGTCTAGACTGAACTTTTCAAATAACCTGTTTTTAAAATGTCTTTATTATAAATGAGTGTCACTAACTTTAAAAAAAAATCAAGCTGTTAAGTGTGAAACCACTGCTAGGGCATATGTTTATTTGAAATTGGATGGAGAAGAATCTTCCTTATCCAACTTGGTAAAAATGACTTCAAGTGTATGTGGATGGACTAGGGACTCTTTCCTCCTGCTGGGAGCAGCAGCCACCCCTGGCCTCTGGGCATGGTCACCCCACAGTCAGCAACTGTTCCCTGGTGCCAAGTGCCACATGCTGACCTTCTCCATCAAAGATTAGGGAATGAGAGGTTTCCTAATTTTATAAGACTCCTAAAGCTATCAGGAGACAGCTTCTAGTGTCTCCAGACTGGGCCTTCCTTTACCTCTGTTGGTGCCACCCCTTCCAGGAAAGGCTCTGTGGCAAGGATGGGATGTGTCTGCTGCGAGCAGAGCGGACCCACCCCCGCCCCGTCATCCCTCTGCTGCTCTGTTCCCGGATGCCTTTGGGTTCTGATGGAAATGTCCTTGTGAATACATTCCAGGGTCTGAACTCCGTTCCTAGCTAAACCTCTTCCTTGTTTACAGGGACGGAAATAGCCACATTTTGACCTTCTGTTCCATCTGGGACTATCTAGGGCAGTGTGGATACATTCTTTTCCCATGTGAGGGTTATACTTCACGGCACAGTTATGGAGGCTCGGGAAGCTGCAAGCCCTCTCCCTCCTCCCGCCCATGTTCTTTCTCACTTAGAAGATGGGCCCTACAATCAGCAAAGTACCAGACCCTGGTCCAAGAAGAGAGGGAGAGAGAGTGTTAAGGCAGAACGGCCCGTTTATTGCCCAAGACAGCTGGAGGGAGGTGCCTTCCCATGCCCAGACCTGCCCAGCGGCCATGCTCAAGGTGCTGTGGCCCCAGCCTGGCATTGTCAGACTGGGAGCTGAGGCCCGGGGCACAGGTGGGACTGCACTTTCCACAGGAGCAAGACAGGAGACCGCGTCTGGGGTTGAGAAGGAGGGGATAGAAAGGAAAGTAAAAATCCATGTTAATCCCTGTGAAAGTCAGAGAAGTGGCCAGTGAGGGCTCCAGCTGGTTCAGAGGGGGACAGGAGCAGAAACGGTGAGTCTTAATAGCGGGTGAGTCTTAATAGCGGGGTCTGTGTGCTGAGGGGGACCCGAGCAGGAGAGGAGAGGAAGTGGGAACATATAGCTGCTGCAGTCACAGACTGACGGAGCTTGAAGCCTTGCGGGGCGTGTTACAGGGATATGGAGCTGAGGGCCCGCAGAAATTTGTGGTAGGGTTATTTTAGGGATCATTGTTCTTTTGCAGCCCAGAAGCAAAGTGGATACAGACACAAGCAGAAGCACTAAGGAGGGGACCTGGGAGCAGGGCTATGCAGAGTCCTGGGAGGGCGGGGAGGTTATGGTCTCATCAGAGTGGGGAAAGCTGAAGGGAGGAGAGGGAGGCCCAGGAACTGGCTGCAGAGTCCACAGAAGGGTAGGGCTGGCAGTGCAGGTTTGCTCACAGATGGTTGAGGAGATGGGATGTTGAGCAGCCAGGGCCCTACCAGAAGGTGCTGCTGGCCTGACACAGCAGAGACGCCACCTGCCAGGAGTGAGCAGAGCCTGCACACGTAGTCGTCCTCTGTCCTCCTCTGCTGGTGTTGTGGTTGCAGCTCATTAGTCTTGAGGCCAGATCCCCACATTTAGTGCCAGCTGCTCTCCCAGGATGTCCCAGTGCTGTCCCTGTGAATTGTTCCAAAGTCAGAATAGCTGTAGAGTGACTGTTCTCTGAAAAGGTTTCCTGGAATCAACGCAGCTTGGGCTGGCATGTGGTCAAGTTTAGAAAGATGTGGGACTTGGTAAGGAAGGAAACTGGCCTTGTATCCAGTGTCTAGAAGCTGGTTTCCCCCACTGTTGACAGTGACCAGAGGGTAGGGCAGCAAGTCAGGAAGTAGGTGTGGGGCTCAGCAGCTAGGGTGCCAGCCACATACCCCAGAGCTGGCGGGTTCGAACCCAGACCTGCCAAACAAAACTAAAAAATAACCGGGCACTGTGTCATCCCAGCTATGTGGGAGGCTGGGGCAAGAGAATTGCTTGAGCCCAAGAGTTGGAGGTTGCTATGAGCTGTAATGCCATGGCACTCTACTGAGGGTAACATAATGAGACTCTGTCTCAAAAAAAAAAAAAAAAGTAGTAGGGGGGAAATGTGTAAGGCTGAGAAGGTCCTCTTGTGTTAGGGAACATTATCTGCTCGAGTCCCCGAGATGAGACCTGGCCCTGCAGCCCTGGTAGAGGTGCCCCACACTGGGCACGTCCTCACTCCTAGCCAGGGCTGCTTTATACTACTATGTACCCGTACCCCCTAGGTTCCCTCACTTCTGGGTGGAAATGAGGCTGCAGCAGACAGGTATTTCTAAGAGGGGCTCCTTTCCACTGGGCCCTGCTCACTCATCATAGAGCATGTGGTAACGAGTGGTCAGCCTCACCACAGAGGAAGCCGGCAACTGCAGGAGCTTCTCCCCATGTTCACTCCTGGGGAGAGACCCTCCTGGTTCAGAAAGTTCTGGGATAATGGTGGTCACAGGGGGTGTGTCAGGCCCTCACAGAGCCGAAGTTTAGAGCACTTCCGAAGCAAAGTGCTCTCTACAGTAAGCCTAATTAAGTTGATGTGCTGGTACTAATATTTCTAAGAACTTAAAAGTATAGTAACACATCTGAGGTTCTGGGTGTCCAGATTCCTGCTCTGGAAAGCTCTCTCTCCTCATCCTGGGCCACAGGGATGTAATGATCATACTGGGTCTCAAGATGCAGGCCCTTTTTATTTCCACCATTTTTACTGTCATCCAGCAACTCAGATGTGACAAGATATATTAGATCATAGTTAATATTCAACCACCATCGTATGGATTTGATTTGTACAGGACTACTTACAAGATAGTCCATTAAGTTATCTTGAAGTGTTGGAACCATTTGATAGGTTATCAGGAGTAATCAGTTCTTGCCCTTGGAGCTGTAGGCGCCACCCGTCGTCAGTTTTCTTTATAGCCTCCTCCTACCTTGCAGAAAGGGAAATGAACGACATACATTAAGACTGTGATTTTACTATTAAGTCCAAGCACAGCAAAGGTAAGATGTATTTAAGAAAATCTCTGGGAGCAGGGAGGAACTCTTTTCTGCCATAAAGCAAAACAAATACATGAGCATTTCCTACCAACTTCAGTGAGATCGGGAAAATTTTTTTTTTTTTTTTGGAGACAGAGCCTCAAGCTGGCCCCCTGGGTAGAGTGCCATGGCATCACAGCAACCTCCAACTCCTGGGCTCAAGTGAGTCTCCTGCCTCAGCCTCCCAAGTAGCTGGGACCACAGGCACCTGGCTATTTTTTGGTTGCAGCCGTCATTGTTGTTTTGGCGGGCCCAGGCTGGATTCAAACCCGCCACCTTAGGTGTATGCTTAGCCACTTGAGCCACAGGCACTGAGCCTGGAAAAGTTTCTATTAAGAGACAAGGGGCGGCTACAGCACCTGTGGCTCAAGTGGCTAAGGCACCAGCCATGGCCTGCCAAACAATAATGATGGCTGCAACCAAAAAATAGCCAGGCATTGTGGCAGGCACCTGTGGTCCCAGCTACTTGGGAGACTGAGGCAAGAGACAGGCTTGAGCCCAGGAGTTGGAGGTTGCTGTGAGCTGTGATGTCACGGCACTCTACCCAGGGGGACAGCTTGAGGCTCTGTCTCAAAAAAAAAAAAAAAAAAGTGGGGCTCGGCGCCTGTAGCTCAGTGGCCAGGGTGCTGGCAGGTTCAAACCCAGCCTGGGCCTCCCAAACAATGACAACTACAACCAAAAAATATGTGGGCACCTGTAGTCTCAGCTACTTGGGAGGCTGAGGCAAGAAGCGCTTAAGCCCAAGAGTTGGAGGTTGCTGTGACATCATATTACTCTACCGAGGGTGACAGAGTGAGACTCTGTCTCAACAGAGACAGGTGGAAATTAAATGTAAGTTGACCTAGTTTTCATAGACCAGACATGTACCACATGGACGTATCAGTACCAAGCCTCATTCCTATGTCAACTCGACCATGTCATTTGTTGATGACTATTTGCTATGGTCCCCTGGTGATCTACTACCCATGTACCTTTATTTGGATGGTAAGTAAATGTTTGCATTAATAAATATACATACCCATTGTCATCTTGACCATTATTTCTCCTTTCCAGAGGCATCTCCATAAGGAAGCTCTAGCATCTAGGAAGAAACATAGTTTTGAGACCTGCTCTCCTCACGTGTTTTCTTTCTGTTTCAGGTTTGAAAAAACCCTGCCCAGTTTTGATCCCTTCAAGACTTTGCCACAGCCTCTATCACACATCTGTTTCCCTTGAAGACAAAAAATATAATAAAAATGTTTTACTCTTTTACACTGTATAATTATAAGAAAGTGTGTTATTTGTGAATGCATGATATACATTTCTGTACAGTTTGGAGATTATTTTCAAATGAAACCTAAAAAGTCAACAATAAAACCAAGAAAGTGAGTATTTTTATACCAAACATTTAAGTATGACAGGATGGATGATCTTACACTGGGTTGGATCACAGTTTTTGTGCTTGACTTTGGAATGCTTGTACTTAAAAATACCTATTTTTTTCTCTAAGCTGCATGTTTGAAGCACGTTTCTAAATATTATCAAAATTTCCTGAATTGTATTGTGAATGTATAGAAATCTCTTTCCCTGGCTGGAGTCCAGGGTGCATTAGTAATGTGGTGTTAGACGTTAGAAACAGAACTGCCCTTAGGTCTGTAGTCCTGGTTCTAGTAGGATAGCTCTGCAAGACAATCAGAATTCTCCAGGAGCTTCTACCTTAATGGCTTATTCACAACTAGGCAAGGAAAACTTGTGGTGGTAAAAATTCCTGATAACAGAGTGTCCTTAGAAAGCCCTGGTACAGTTTGTATTCACATCTGGAAGTGCCAAGTGTTACTTTTTGCACTTTTGTGCTTATCTTTTATAGCCGCACGCTCCTGTGTGAATAACCACTTGAAGCATAACTCACATTCCCATAGGTGTCCCCACTGTCCCATAGGAAGACAGGCAGCAAGCACTTGGGAGGCCCGCCCTGCCCACTAGGGAGCTGGCTTTGCCCACCCCCTCAGCTGCCTCCCAAGTGATTTGCAAACCATCGCCTGAACTGAGCTAATGGTCCCAAGTCTTGGCAGCACGATGCCAGTGGCCCGTTTAACACACCCACTCGAAGGGTGTGTACTGACTGTGCTGACACAGGACAGGGTGTTTGGAACAAACATCATCCAGCTTTCCTCAAAACTTGTTCAAAGCCAAAAGCAGTTTTGTGTTGTAAGTTGACATAGCTCCAGAGTCTTGACAGTTCATCTTTCCCTTGTACAAGAGCCATGTGTAAAATTCTGTTGACCTAAGAATTTCAACTGCTGATCTAGCTAAATATGATCACAAATTTTCTTTCTGATCTGCTCACCTTGTGCTGAAAACTTCGGTGTTTTAATGATTATATGGTTGGTTTCGGTTTGGTTTTATTTCATCATATTCCATTAGCATTAAAGATGTAAAGCTTTTAAAGGTGATCACAAAAACCAACAAGACCAGGAAGGAGAGCGAGCTGTTTCTTACCAGAAATACAGGGAAGAGGGCAGAGAGCGGCTCATGCACTCATGACCCATCCACCTCAGCGGACAAGGGCCTGCTGCGCCCTCGCATGGCTCTTGGTGAAGCTTCTGAGAAAACAAACAGGCACTTCCACATGGTCTATTACACTTTTATAAACTGTTTAAAGGTACTTTTATATTGTCATTTTTAAAAAATAAAGTGCTTATTATTCCAGTCATACCATTGTTTGGCAAATTCATTTTTGCACAATCAACCAAATGAATCCTCCTCCATGGACAGGGGTCCACAGGCCTCTCCACATCAGGCATCAGAGCAAAGCATGGCTGTTGTGACAAGGCCCAAAGAGAAAGAGGAACAGTGCGCCCAGGGAGTACCCTCCACAGAGGCACTATTGCAGCCACAGGGTGACCAACACAGACACCAGAGGCAGGAGAATCTCAAGGGAGATTCATGTATTTCTTGACAACATACATGAACCTGGATCACACTCCATTTTTAAATGCCTTTCACTACACTCAGCTGACTACCATATCCACAGAGTTTGAGCTCAAAATTATTTGAATTCTATCTATTAAAGCATCACATAGTTTTCTACTGATCTAAGGATAATTTAGTGTTAACTACTAACACCTAGCAACTTGTCAACAGCCAAGACAACAATGCTTTTTATACATTCTCCCCTACCCTTCTTGCCCACAAAGGGGAAACAGTGCTTTAGTCTGAGTCACGACAACAACCATGAGTCACTGAGTTTCACTGGGCACTGAGATGATGGGTTCTGTGCTCAGGCTCTTGCATCCCACTGCCTCCCAGTCCTCCCGCAGCCATTCCCAGGCCTAGAGGATGGCAGATAGCACAAGAGCTGGCTTGATCCTGTGGCTCTGCCTTCATTCCACCTATAAACTGCCAACTGGGAGGCCTCCTACCCTTGAGGTCCTTTGCCACCTAGGGCCATCCCCATCTCAACCAGCCACTAGCTGAACATGAATTACTTCCATATGACTTTTCACACTGGGCCTTTGGGTAGACAAGTGCCCCAATCATTACCATGCTGATGTACAAGCAACAAGCCTGGATGGTATTTACTAATATAATGTGAACTCCAGATAGAGTCCCACTGACCTACCAAACACCAACTTCATCACAATCTGAAAAATTGCCCTTTTTGTCACTGTATTGAGCCAGAACGAATAGCGTCTCTCTTTTAGAATTAGGAACTTAGGCTCAGCGCCTATAGCTCAACCGGCTAAGGCGCCAGCCACGTACACCTAAGGTGGCGGGTTCGAATCCCCAGCCCAGACCAGCCAAACAACAATGACGGCTGCAACCAAAAAAAAAAAAAATAGCCGGGCGTTGTGGCGGGCGCCTGTGGTCTCAGCTACTTGGGAGGCGGAGGCAGGAGACTCGCTTCAGCCCAGGAGTTGGAGGTTGCTGTGAGCTGTGATGCCACGGCACTCTACCAGGGGGACAGCTTGAGGCTCTGTCTCAAAAAAAAAAAAAAAAAGGAATTAGGAACTTAGGGTAAGGAAAAGCCAGTTGCTTGTTCTCTCTTACTCCAATACAAGAATGTCCCAATTTGTAGACTCCAGAAAGATAGTAATTAAGCCATCTTTTAGTTCCACTACTGAGTGAACTGTCCTTGTGAACACAAGCTGTAAAACTATCATCTGGCCTGTGCTCCAAGCATTCTGGGAGGCTGAGGCAAGAGGATCACTTGAGGCCAGGATTTTAAGAGGAACATCTACTAGAGTTGAGACCCTATCTCTACAAAACATTTCTTTTTAGAGGGCCATGACATAGCTCACAGGAACCTCAAACTCTTAGGCTCAAATGATCCTCTCGCCTCAGCTTCCCAAATGTAGCTAGGACTACAAGTGCCAGGCGTTAACACCCAGCTATTTTTTTTTTTTGAGGTCTTGCTCTTGCTCAAGCTGGTCTCAAACTCCTGAGGTCAGGCAATTCTCCCAGAGTTCTAGGATTATAGCCTCGACCTCCCAGAGCTTTAGGATTATAACCTGAGTCACCAGAGCTGGCCTCTACAAAACATTTTTTTTTTAAATTTTAAAAATCAGCTGGGTTGGCTCAACACCTGTAGCTCAAATGGCTGCAGTGCCAGCCACATACACCAGAGGTGGCAGGTTTGAATCCAGCCCGAGCCTTGCCAAACAACAATGACAACTACAACCAAAAAATAGCCAGGCTATTTTGTGGTGGGTGCCTGTAGTCCCAGCTACTTAGGAGGCCGAGGGAAGAGAATCACTCAAGCCCAGGATCTGGAGGTTGCTGTGCTGCCAGGGCACTCTACCCAGGGCGACAGTTTGAGGCTCTGTCTCCAAAAAACAAACAAACAAAAAAATCAGCTGGGTTATGGCAGCATGTGCCTGCAGTAGCTATGCACAGGTGTAATCACAGCTCACTGCAACCTCAAACTCCTGGCCTCAAGCAACCCTGCTGCAGTCTCCCGAGGGCAAGCACAAGCCAACTCATCCAGTTTTAGTCATTTCTGAGTGCTTTGGGTAAGACACACTCTGTTCCAAGAATGTGGACAGATAACCAAAAGCTACCAAAGTGCTGGGATTACAGGCATGAGCCATCAAGCTTGACCATTTTATCCCCGTTATCTACGGAAGGTCTACGAGAGAAGAGAAAAATGGGGTCCTTCTGCTCTACTTGACAAAATCAAGTGGGACTCTGAACAGGATCATTAAAAACCAAATTAAGGGCTTGGTGCCTGTGGCTCAAGCAGCTAAGGCGTCAGCCATGTACACCTGAGCTGGCGGGTTTGAATCCAGTCTGGGCCCACCAAACATCAATGATGGCTGCAACCAAAAAAATAGCCGGGCGTTGTTGGCAGGCGCCTGTGGTCCTAGCTACTTGGGAGGGTGAGGCAGGAGACTTGTTTCAGCCCAGGAGTTGGAGGTTGCTGTGAGCTGTGATGCCATAGCACTCTACCTAGGGGGATAGCTTGAGGCTCCGTCTCACTCTGTCACCCTGGGTTGAGTGCTGTGTTCATAGCAAGCTCAGACTCTTGGCCTTGAGCTATCCTCCTGCCTCAGCCTCCTGAGCAGCTGGGACTATAGGCATCCACCACAACACCAGCTAAAGAAATTTTACAGGTAAAGTCTTTATGTTTGTTATCTGAGGCAAGACTTCTTATCCCTCTGTGGAAGAGGGACCATCCATATTTATTTTTAAAGGAACTCCATTTATGAAGGAAAATGTACTTTTTTTCTTTAAGCCAGAACCAGAGCGAGGCCAACAGCACAGCTCCAGGGCCTACCCTAGCTGTCCCCACTGAAGACACGTGTCCCCACTGAAGACACGATGGCAACCGTGTTCAATGGGCCAGTTAGTCTGAGTAACGCTTTACAAGAGGTCGGTGGACGTCCCACAGCCCAATGCCCACAGAACACCCATTCATCTCTCAGGATGTCCCACAAAACCCACACTGGTCAATGCTGAGCCACCCTACAAGGAGCTCAAGGACGACCCAAGTGACAGATCCTTGCTGCTCCTCAGCCATCGCACTGCAGCCCTGCTGAAGGCACAACCCCAGGCTCCCTGTCAACAACTGTCACTGAAAGACCAAAACCTTCCTCACAAATAAATTGTTTGAAAGTAAAAACTGAGGCTACAGAGAAGAGGGGAAACTGATTCTCACCTTCTACGCCTCAGAAAATTGCACTAGCTGATAAGAGCCTGGGAACAGATAAATCTCCAAATCCCACAAAACTGCCAACACGATGTGTTTTTTGCTGCTAGTGATTTTATACAAAGCAACTCACCGAAGGCATCAGAGACTGGAGATCTGCAGTCCCTAGGAACACCAGGATGGAAGTAATGGGGTGTCCGGAGTGACCTCTCCACTAAACAATGCTCAACAGGTCTCAACTGCTCCTGCCCCCTGGGTCCCACCATCATCTGACCACACTTACAGGTTCTGACAGCAGCAGCCAAGTGTTCATTTTTTATACTCTGTCTGGGCTCAGCTACATTTCTCTTGACTATCCCTAAAAGCCTCACATGAGTGTGATAAATTATTAACTGCATGCACCACAGCCTGTCCTAACTTCTTAACTCACTCAACCATGCCCACTGCCTCCTATTCTAAGTGGCCAGCAGATCAGCAGAAACCGGCAGAGTCCAGAGGACACTTCAACTCAGAATTTCTGGTGGATGTATTTTTAGACACCCAAAAGAACTGCTAAGAGACTCTTCCTTCTTTTTACAAACATACCTCAGAGATGCTGATGTGGCTTCAGACTACAGCAACACACTGAATATTGCAATAAAGCAAGACATGTTCTTTATGGTTTCCCAGGACACAGACAATTATGTTTACGCTATGCCGCGGTCTATCATGTGATCCTCAAACACAGCAAAATGCCCACCACAATTTTCTACCAGGACTGTTTCCTTTCCACAGGTCACTAGATGGCACAATCCCATCTAGTCCCCCACATGCGGACTGTGGAGGAAATAAGCTTACACACAGGAGGAAAGCTGGATCGAGGCTTAACAAAAGGCAAATGAATGAGACAAAGCTACGGAACCTGTGATTGTGGCAGTTTAGCAAGTCACTGCATTTCACTGGAGCTCAATTTCCTCATTTCTGAAATGAGTTTTAGACCAGGTAACCAGAATCAATTATCAGGCCCATCCGTGAAGTACTGATGGGCGCAGGTCTAGCCAGACGTCACTACCTACACACGCAGCAGTGGAAGGGCTCAGGGCCTTGATGACTGTCCTTGCAATACAGGAGGAGATGTTTGAAATGCCTAACCTCCCTTTCTTTGCCCTAAAACAAAGTGTAGACCATAAAAGTAGGCATGTGCCAGAGATAAGCCACCTCTGTATTTTTTACAGGACATGTCCTTTTATGCCATCAGACACTGAAGTTCTTACTAGCAAAACACTTCTAATGCACAGCAGGACGGGGTGCATTTCCTGTGTCCTGAATTATCAAGGGGATCCTCGATTTTTTATCTTCTCATGCCATATTTTAGGGCTTGGAGGTAACAAAAAAAGATAAAGGAAATAGAAGATGCTGTAAATGATAAAAAAAAAAAAAAAGTAGAAAAGACAAAAAGAACTAAAACTGCAAAAAAGCTGCTTGTCATAATGTACTTACCACTTTGGGTCATCCATCAAACCTTTCTTTCAGAACACCAAGCCACCACAGTTTCAGTCTGTGATGTGAGAACTATAACAATCACCCCCAAGGCCACAGCACACCACATGGTAAATACAGGGAAGAAAATGCGTACCTGGCCACAGAAGGCAGGAATGACCACGCTGACTTTCCACAGGTCACCATGAGCCTAGAGATAACATCTCTCAACGAGCGGGAGCAGTCATGGGTTGACAGAGGGTGTCTCCATCAGAACAACTCCAGGGTTGAGCCATAAAAGGGATGGGAGGTGGTAATGCCGACCTTCAGGCTGGCAAAGATTACTCGCTCTTATTCAATACGCCATCCGGCCACCTTGGAACTTAGTGAATCCAGTAAACACTGATTTGTCCTTTTAAAATAAAACAGTAACAATCACATTTAGTGTGCCTTTACTGCTTGGCCTGCTAACGAGACATACCCTGTGTTCCAACTGTGAGGTGCACAGGCTCAGCAGCACAGGGCAGACCCTGTCTTCACAGCGTCCACACGCAGGCCGGCCCTGTGGAAGTCACAGACTGGAGATGCTGCCAGCCATTTTTAAGGATGCAAAGAAACAAACAGAATTCACTAACATCTTAAAAATCCTTCTATAATGATTTTATTATAAATATGTTCTTCTGGAATAAACAAATATTGCATTCAGGACTATTCGCAACTTGCTCTAAAGTAGTAAAAGAGGAAAAATGGAACCACAAACCCTTTAGAAGGAGAAATAAATAGCAAAGACACCTGCATGCCATGCAAAGCGCCTTTCTCCCAAGAAGTAACAGAAGGATAACAGAGAACATCACACTTCTCATTAGCCCATTCAATTAAAATAAGCTTTGAGTTTGGTAATTTGCACTTGTACTGTAAACTGAACTGCTCCTCTCCTCAGTCCTAAGCAGCAGAATGGAAGACAGTCCTCAGAGCCCAAGCGTCACCAAGAAAGATCTTGATTGTGTATTCATAACTCTTTGTTCAAGGGCAAAAGTGTTCCCTATTTGCCAGGAGTAATGTCAGAGTAATCCTTCAGCACGCCAGCCAAGTGTTCATTATGAGTCTTAAACCGTCTCTTTTTCTGCGAAGCAGGCTTTTTCCTTCTCTGAATAGAGGCCTGGAGGGAAAGGGAAGAACAGTTAGGAACGTGACAGCTACACTGAGGGTCACAGGTCAGGATTTACTGAGCATGCCCAGAAACCAGCAACAAAGGCTGCAGGGTCTGGACTTGCTCCCAGCATCACCCCTCACCAGCACATGCCCAGCCTGACCCCAACAGGAAGAGACTGGAGCACAAAAACTCACCACAACTATTCTAGGCACTAAAGGGATAAACCCAAAAAAGGCAGTGAAGCTTTGTTTTCTGCCTCTGATACCAGGTTTAAAAATATATCCACCCATTACCCCCCCCAAAAAAAGTAAATATGACAAAATACTGAGAAATGAGTAGCAAACAAAAGTTTGAAATATTCTCTATTCTTCTCTGTATACTCGAAATATTAGCATCATATGATTTTTAAAAAATCAGTAAAATAAACAGTAAGTCATCACGAAGGGCTGCAATTACACTAATCTGCGGACAGGTCATTGGCAATAAATCAATAAATCTTCCTTTTTTGAGTCCTAAACACTCACTGAACACACACTAGACCGCCACCAAGACGACAAACTACAAAGTCTTATGGTGGATGGGGGAGGGAGAGCAGCACAGCACAACAGCAGTCCAGGTGCGGGGACCGGCCCCACCCTGGCTTTGTTCCTCGACTACTGATTGTTGGTTAGCTGGAACAAGGCAACTGACAAGTCTTCATCTGATTTCTAATGCTTTCTACCAGCAGGATGTAGAGGCCATAAAGACAACAATATCTGGTTCCTAAGGGACTTAACAATCAACAAGGACACATAAGGATGCGAACCAGGCACCAGGACCACAGAGCTCACGGGGCAGAGCCAGGCACCAGGACCACAGAGCTCATGGGGCAAGTCGGGAGCACAGCCAAGGTCCCCACAGGGTCAGCAGCTGAGGGGACTTCTTTTCAGGAGCCTGCTGTGCAGGAGATTCGCAGGGGAAGAATGGGCAACACACCAGCGCCCAAACAACTCGGTGTGGTGTGGGCTCAGGAGCAAGCACTGCAAGGAAGGGGCTGGGGTGATGGGAAAGGCTCTCTCAGGCCTAGGTCTGCCCCACAGCCGGGTTGGGACCCAGAGAAAACTGGCAGGGAACAACCACCTGCTCTTCAGAAAGCAGAACAGGAAAAGGCTAACAGCCCAAGGACCGAGGAGTAAGCTGTGTTTCTAGAGATTACACACCACTTTCTTTGGTCCAGATTCCTGCATGGAAGAAATACCCTGTCGTTTCAGATACTCCTCAATTTTTTCCTCGTCCATCGAATCCACAGTGACACTCCTCCACAGTTTCTGAAATTCTGAACCAACAAGATAGCAGTTATTTTACAAGAAAGTTTTACATGTTACAGCATCTCAGTGATCAAAATCTAGGCTTCAATATTATCTCTGCTGGATCAAAATGAGCACATCTGAGATTATAAAAATAAAGTAGTACAGCCAGAACGTTCAAGGGCTGGACATTGGGCAGCAGAAGGGCCTGGGAACAGAGCTGCACCAACACAGCCCAGGTCAGAGGGGCTCCTATTTTTAGAGGGTGGTAAATGCAGGGTGATGTGACCAAGGACTCCCTGTTTTCCCAGGAAGAAGGGCAGTGGACTCTGCTTTTATTCCTCCACCTTAAGCAAACAGTTTGACTCCCTGCTGGGCACTCCAGCTCAGCACACTCCATTTCTCTCCTACTGATCATAAGAAATGTGTAGGGTGACAGGGCCCAAAGCACCACATGGAGATGAGGTGCTGTGCAATTCATTTGTAAAAAAGATTTTTGAAATCAAATAACCTCACTAAGAGAACATAAAAGAGGGTAGCTGAAATAGAAAAAAATCTCACAGCCCTTGTACCACCAAGGGGTAAGGCCCCCACATGGCCCAGGCTGCTCTCCCAACTCCTGGGCTCAAATCATCCTCCCCGCTCAGCCTCCCAGTACCAGGATTACAGACAGATGTGTGCCACCACGGTTGGTCACATCCTCCCATATGCACTTGATCATCACTCGATTACCTATACAACCTAATATAACTTGAATGCTAAATGCTATATAAACAGTTGTTACACCGTGCTGTCTAGGGAATAATGACAAGAAAACCTGTTCATGCTCAGGACACATGTGACTTTTTCCCCAAGTATTTTCAGCCCATGGTTGGTTGAAGACACATGCAAAACCCACAGACATAGAGGCTAACTCTGTACTCTGAATTCTTTCAAATGCAATTAAACTTGTTTTCTGGGCTAGAATACCAACTATCTTGCTGATATTTTCAAGTAAGCTTGGAATGTAAGTACTATATCCTGCTGCTATTGGACAATCTGTTCTATAAATGCCAATTAGGTCTACCTGATAGTGTTGTTTGGGACTTGTACATCTGCACTAATCTCCCATCTACTTGTTCAATCAATTACTGAGAGAGGAATGCTATGGACTCCAATCTTTTTTTCCAAACTGGGACAAGTTTGATCCAACAGACTCCAATGTTAACTGTGGATATCTCTATTTCTCCTGTAGTTTTATCCAATTTTAACTCATGTCTTTTGAAGGTCTGTTGTTAAACTAGAAATCAATAACAGAGCTATATTTAGAAGGTCTCCATTAGGAAATTAAACACTTCAAAATAATCTGTGGTTCAAGGAGGAAATCACAAGCACGTGAAAAAAGTTGAATTAAACGAAAGTGAAAGCACAACATATCAAAATCCATGGGAAGCGGCTCCGGTAGCGCTTAGAGGGAAATATTTAGAGCATGAAATGCTCAGGGTAAAAAAAAGAATATTGTATGAATATACATTTTATTATTTATCCATTCATCAGTTGATGGACATTTGGGTTTTTTCCACTTTTTGGCTATTATGAATAATGTTGCTATGAATACTCCTATACCAGTTCTTACATGGATCTATGTTTTCTTTCTCTTCTTACAGTCTATCTCTCTGCTAAAATAGCCTACCTGATCACACATTCTGTCTGCCTTTTCTACTACAGACCTTAACATTATTAGTCAGAGTTATTTTAAATTCCATAGCTGGTAGTTCCAATGTCTGTGTCCTAAGAATCTGAGTCTGTTGTATGCCCTGTGTTATTTTTCCTTGCTTCCTTTAATGCCTAAAAAAAATTTTTTTGAAAGCAGGATATCCTTTGTAAGACAGTTGAAAATGAGGTCGTTTTTATGCCTGGAAATGGGCACGCCTTTCCTCCTGTCAGACCCTTGGCGTGTGGAGGCTGAGTCACTCTACTGTCAGGATATGAGCTTGGTTTGGAAACTGCCGCTACCGTGACCCACACTGCACCAGCAGCATCAAACTCCTCTAGCCATACCTTGTGTTTAAGGAAGAGGCTGGTTTGCCAGAGGCTTTTCTCAGTGTCTGTCCGACCCTGAGAAAATTAGTTTTAGGTCATCCTTTATGCTGCACCTCACTGGCCTCCCTCCACACTCCAGCTCCCCCAGAACTCCACCGCTGCCTGGTACAGCACAGTTGTTGGTCTCATGTGAATAACTGGGAATTCTGTGACGTTCTGATTAAGCCTCAGTCTTAGACAAAGATTGTATTCCTTGGGGTCCAGGATATGGCCTTCTCAGCGTTCCTGCCCCGCCTACCCTGCTGAAGCTCTGGGCTCAACACATATGCCTGTCCCTCCCCAAGGATTGGAGGTTTTCTTTCAGTTCCCTTCCCACAGCAGCTGAAGGCTCTAGGAGTCTTCAGTCTCCCAGGAAAGCAGCAGCAGATAAGTCTTCTTATCTTTCCTGAAGGGGCTACTACTGTTCCCCTCCTCCAGGCCTGTCTAATGAGGGACACCTCCTCAGGACCCCCACTCTAGCCTCAATTTTTAAGCATCATAAGCACCCAGTATAAGTCCATGGAGAAGAGCCCGTGAGGGCATACATATTCCCGTGTCTGCAGCCCCCTGGGCCTCTCCATTCTCTTGCTAGTCCACACTAAGCCTTTAGCAGATCATTCAAAATGTTAACTGAATTTTGCTGAGTGGTGTTCATTTTGTCTGTCCCAGTAATCAAGTGCTCACCTCCCACCTTTCCTTGGAGGTGCCTGTCTTTACTTAGAGTTTTGTTAGTTGACTGTCCTACAACCTCAGCTCTCTGCTGGATTCAAAAAAGCTATAAATTTACAGTTTGTTGCTGTGAGGACAGAAACCATGCTTCCTCTAGCATTCTCCCTTCTAAGCGAAAGCCAGAAGTTCCCAACTGCCTACTTTCTAGGCAAACTTTAAAGACTATGTAATGAATGTGACTAGCTCTGCTCACTACTGGTATATTAAGAAAATGTGGCTCAGTGGGTAGGGCATTGGCCCCATATACCAAAGGTGGCAGGTTCAAGCCCAGCCCCGGCCAAACTGCAACAAAAAAATAGCCAGGCATTGTGGCAGGTGCCTATAGTCCCAGCTACTCTGGAGGCTGAGGCAAGAGAATCTCCTAAGCCCAGGAGTTGGGGGGCTGCTGTGAGCTGTGATGCCACAGTACTCTACCAAGGGCGATAAAATAAGACTGTCTTAAAAAAAAGAAAGAAAGAAAGAAAGAAAGAAAAAGAAAAAGAAAGTAAGTTCAGGCTTGGCACCCACAGCACAGTGGTTACAGTGCCAGCTATATACACAAAGGGAGCTGGGTTCAAACCGGCCCAGGCCAGCTAAACAACAATGACAACTGCAACAAAAAATAGCCAAGGGGGCAGCACCTGTGGCTCAGTGAGTCAGGCGCCAGCCCCATATACCGAGGGTGGTGGGTTCAAACCCGGCTCCGGTCAAACTGCAACAAAAAAATAGCTGGGCGCGTTGTGGCAGGCACCTGTAGTCCCAGCTACTCGTGAGGCTGAGGCAGGAGAATTGCCTAAGCCCAGGAGTTGGAGGTTGCTGTGAGCTGTGACACCACAGCACTCTTCCGAGGGCAATAAAGTGAGACTCTGTCTCTGGGATTAAAAAAAAAAAATAGCCAAGGCATTGTGGTGGGTGCCTGTAGTCCCAGCTACCTGGGAGGCTGAGGCAAGAGAATCGCTTAACCCCAAGAGTCTGAGGCTGCTGTGAGCTGTGATGCCATAGCACTCTACTGAGGGCAACACAGTAAGACTCTGTCTCAATAAATAAATAAATAAATAAAGATTGTACATTATTTACAACAATATTAACAAAAAATAAAATTCCTGAACTATCATTGGTTGGCCAGAAAAATTGTTTAAAGTACATCGACAAAATGGAACATTTTGCCGTTATATGCACGTCTCCCTTCGCTTAGAAGGGAGAATGCATATGGCCATTAAAAAATAATGATCCAAAATAGCATCAGAGTCCCAGGGCAAGGACCCAAAGTGGTAGCTTTGAGGAGTCCTGAATTCTAAGGATAAAGGTGAAATCATTTTAGTTTCCAGTCAGATTAAGTTACTAGCAATGGATGAAAAGTCAGATTGTCAATGACATTCTCATCAGGAACACCAAAAACTATCATGTACTGGCAAAAGATCAGTGCAAACGTAGCCTCATATGGCTAAACTATTTCTGTGATCCTTGTCTGAACAAAAACTAAACCATAAAACCAGCAAGTCAATGATCAGATTGATAAGTAAATAAGGCAGAATTAAAACAACCAGAACTGCGAACACTACTTCCTATTGCCAAAACTATTTAATAAGAGCCAACTAACATTACTGTGTTCTTACTATGTGCCAGATTCTGTTCCAAGCTCTAAGTGCTTTTATTTGTACTAAGTCTTTTAATCCTGATAAAGATGGTGAGGCATAGACACCACTATTTCCATTTTACAGGTGAGGAACCTGACCTTGGCTCAGAAGGAGAAGAGCTAAGACAAACCCCACGGTGTGACCACTCCACTCATCCTGGCTCTACATGAATAAGATCCTGACTTAAGGAAATAAATGCCTTTGCCAAATAAGATACACACCTAGGTCCAACTACTCTGTGTTCACCTCTTATCTGATCAAAAGAATTACTACGCAATCAACTCCTTACTTGAGCTATATCTCACTTTAGCTTCTTCTTTTTTTTTTTTTTTTTTTTTGCAATTTTTGGCCAGGGCCAGGTTTGAACCTGAACCTGCCACCTCCAGTACATGGGGCTGGTGCCCTACTCCTTGAGCCACAGGCACCGCCCTCTCATTTTTGGCTTCTATCACAAATCGAAGGGTGAATGAATCTTCAGAATGCCTTAAATCTGGTGCACTCAAGATTTCCTCTCTATGGCTAAGACTGCCACCCAGTGGGCTGAAACAAAAATTTTCATCAATACAACAATCAAAATAGAAAGCATTCTGAGAGTACAGCGTGAAGAAAGAAAAAAAAAAAGG